TTCTAAGAATTTATCCATTTCTTCCAGATTGTCGAATTGGTTGGCATATAGCTTTTCATAGTATTCTCTTATAATCTTTTGTATTTCCGAGGTGTCTGTTGTAACCTCTCCTCTTGAAATGAAAGATAATTAGTTGTCACGAAGTTTATAGCTGACATTTAATAAGCTATTCTTCATCCGCCAAGAACAGTTAAAACTAACTCCAAAGCTGTTTTTGTGACGTATGATGCATGCTGTCTCATAGTAATATCATTTTGTTTTGTTGTTTCAAAAAACAACAACAGTGACACATTTTGGAAAGCTCAGCTATTATGTATACTTTTAAGTTAATTTGTCATCAGTGAACAGGTAATAGGAAGCTGAACATACCATCATTTCCCTATAAGCTTTTCCTTGGGAATAAATTTGCTTAAGAGAGGAAATAGTTTTAATTACTCAATATATCATGTGAAAATAGAAACACTTCATTATATTAATAGTAGTGGTCTTAATTAGTGCCAAGAGAGTCACTAATATGAAGCAAGTAAAAAAAAAAAAAAATATTATGAAGAGAAAGAGGCAGTTTCGAGAGAGGATAAACCCCAGCATTCCAGGAAGAAGCTTACAATGGCAAAGACCTGTTACCCTAAAGGTAGCTTGACTTATAAAGATAATTATCTGATATATAAATTTAAATTTCCAGGTCTCCTTATGGCATTTGTACTGGAATGTCCAGGATCTCACAATGTCCCACCAGTTTTATACTGGAATCCTGCCCTTCCTTTTTGTAAGAAATCTATTCCACACTATCTTCCAAATCATCTCTCATCTAATGTGGTCCTCACAGCTCAGACATGTACTGCCATTCTGGGCCCTCATAGCTGTCAACTCTGGCCATCTTTTTCAGTTACTCTAACCCTGCCTGCCTAGCACATTTGCTTCTCTTGTCTATCCTCCATTTTAAGTGGGTCACAGAATCCCTTGGGATTCATGACAGTAGTGAAAGAAAGAGGAGTGGATGAAATCTTTATTAAACATCCCAAAAAGATTTTGGTTGTTGGCAATCAATAATTTAAATCATAGTTGAAAATATTTTATTCTACATTTATGCTCTTAGTTTCTCTAAACAGCAAGTTCCAAATGTTTCCAGAAATTCTTATCCTCCTTCAGTTTGTTTTTATGAGTCATAGATTGAGGAGGTCTGAGGATCTTGTCATTCCCTCGCTTGAAACCCCTCAGTGCCTTCCCTTTGCACTTAGACAAAAGCCAAACTGCTTCCTCAGGCCTATAAGGCCCTTTGTGCTTGGCTTTGCTACCTTCTAACTGCATCTGGTGCCACTCTGCCCTTATTCATTCTGTCCCAACATACTGGTGGTCTTTCAGTTCTTAGAATGTTCACGTATGTGTCTGCCTCGGGATCTTTGTACATACTATTCCTTCTGCCTGGAATGCTGTTCTCCCCATTTTTTGTGTGCCTGGCTCCTTCTCATCTTTTAAGACTTAGCTTACATGTCATCTCCTTCAAGAGGCCTTCCCCAATGGTCCTATCTAAAACAGATTCTCTATTTAATTCTCTTTCTTAGCTCTTTTTTTTTTCATAGTACTTATCGTAACTTACAATTATTATTTTTTTCTCATAATGTGTTTTGGTAATTGTTGTCTTTTTCTCTTTCACCATAACAGTACTTACTCAATTCAACATGTGCTTATTAGGCAATTGTTTATTGGGCATTTACTACAGGGGAAAATAACAACAATGATAATAATAATATCAGTGTGGCAGGAACTGTTGCAAACCTTTGTCTACCTTACCATGTCGGATCCTTACAACAACCAAAGGAGATCAGGAGTATTTTTATCTCTATTTTTCTACAACTTAGAGGAAGTTGTAGAAAATCCAAAGACTATACAGAAAGTGGCAGATTTCAAACTTGAAGTTGGGTTTGTCTCCCTCCAAAGGCTATTCTCTTAACAACTACTGCTGTGATAACAAGACATGATCCTTTACTGAAAATATTACATTCTAGTGGGGGAATTAAAATCCTCTTCAGTGTCCTCACCAAAGGCTATCTGGATCATGTAGCGTAAAGGCTGAAGCTTGAAGAATTTGTAGTGTTTTTAGG